GGCGGCATCGGCTGCTTGAAGTACGCCACATCGGTGCTTGTGTCATCACAGTGACACATCTTTGGACTCACGTTCATGGTCCAAGTTCCAGAGCACCAAGCGATTTGATGGACCGGCGTCACCATGAACTCCAAAGTTCTGGTGTGGAGGCAAGATAGAATAGTCCGGCCGAATCTTCTGAGGTGTTCCTCTCGATCTCCCTTCGACTGGCGCTTGTCCACACGGAGAAACGCCACCTTCATGGCCAGCGTCTCGCTCAGGGGGGTTGCGGTTTGTACCGCCATGTATCACGTTTCACCACCCGACTTGGTTGAACAGTGCAGACGGCGGGACCTTTCCGCAGCGCTTGCGCTGCCTTGCGGCTGATCACGGTGAAGGACAACTTTCCTTCACTTCTTCTCCGTCTGCCAACCAAACCGGAAAGCAGTTGCTTGGTCGTTCGAAAGGTTCAAGGCAGCCGATGCTGAACAAACGCTCCACGCGGTCCCTGCATAGACCGGGATGAAAGGTGTTGAGGGTGTCGTCGCTAATCTCACCAAGGTAAATGATCTCATCGGAAAACTCATCGGAAATCCTCTGGTCTGCACGCCGATTGTCTTGTTGGAGTCAGACAACACGATTGTCTTGTTGGAGTCAGACAACTGTGACAACTCTTCAGGCACCACCGTATTGGAGGAGCGGCCAGAGAAAGCGCAAATCACAGAAGCAAACAATTGCGGAGACATGTCATGTAAGGAGACAAGTGGGGAGACAAGAAAGCAATGGCAACGGCAACGGTTGACCAAAACGCAAATCAGCCACCCAGCCATTGAGAAGTAAGAGCCCCTAAAGCTTTCAGCTATCTGCGGAATGAACATGGACTTCAAGGCAGCGAAAAAAACTGCATGTCTTTTAAAGTTCGTTTCAGAGGGCTTGTCAGGATCTCATGACAAGATGCAAGTTGGAAGACAAAAGCGGAGAGAAGTGAGGAGACAAGGGTGGAAAAACGTCTCGTGACAGGATGTGAGTTGGGGAGGCAAGAGGGAGAGAAGTGGGGAGAGAAGGAAGAAACTATCTCGTGATGGGAGACAAGAAAGGAGACAAGTGCGGAGACAAGGGCGAACCGGCTTGCGACTGAGCATGCTGGCAAAAGTGTGATTGAATTGCGTGTGCGCAAGTACGCGCTGCATGGCCAGTGCACTGGCCTCAGGCGATTCTTTGCTTGTTGCGGAGCCAAATTATTCAGGCTTTTCTCTTTTACTTCAGTTTTCTGGCTGCCAAAAAAACGTGCATGATCCTTCAAACGAATGAATTCATTCCTTGAAGTAGTGGAATAAAGATGAATAAGGTTCTCCCCATTCATTTGGTAACTGTTGACTGAGGCAAGACGAACAGGGCGGAATATGCACAATTCTGTACGCAGCACAGAAAAGACAAAGATGTGCTACCTCCAACATCCTCCAACCCTTGCACCACACACCAAAACACAGCTCTTCAACCTGTGGTTTTACCACGGGAAACGCTTGCTTGCGGAGCTAGTTTGCATTTGTACACATTTGTTCACTTCACTTCACTATCTTCACTTTTTGTTGGACACGCGTCCAATCAGACCTTTTTACCTTTTGGATCTCAAGACCTCCCTGGCTCTTATGATGTCGACCGCTTGACCTTTAGACCTCTAGATCTTTGCTAGAGCTGGAGACTTCTATGTCTCGGCCTTTGGAACTAGAATTTACACAGATGTAGAGAAGCAAATCTCTCTCGCAAGATCTCACCTCTGGATCTCAAGACCTCTGGATCTCAAGACCTCTGGACCTCTAGATCTCCTAGATTGAGAGGCTTCACATCTTCGGATCTCAAGAGCTCTATTTCTAGATCTCCAGATCTACTCCTCCAGACCTTTGGATCTCTGTGGATCTCTAGGCGTTTAGATCTTGCTAGATCGTTTTGGTTCTCAAGACCTAAATGGATCTCAAGACCTCTGGGTCTGGGAGCCAATACTTCTAGATCTCTAGACCTTCTGCTTCTACACCTCTGGACCAGACGAACAGTTTTGGATCATTTTCTTGGAGTTTCCGCTGTCTCCCCGAGCGGACCAGAAACGTCATTCTTTCCGGCTGCTCCGGCTTAGCTAGCAGGTGAGCCGGCTCTCCATTTTAGTGTGCACCGTATTCTCTTCAGTTCGGTGTGAGGCCCAGCAGCACAAAGCACAAAACAACAAGACACAGACTTACTGTATGTATTGATCCTCAACGTGTCAATGAGTCCTGTCCAAGTCTCTTGTCAATCTACGCGCCACCAAGCACAAACACCCCTTCTGGACGACTAGAATGCTCGGCTCCGCCAAGGGGAGTTGATGTTGATGGTCATTATGGGTTTGTCACTGGGTCCCTCATGCAGTTTCATCGAGTGTAATCTATGGATATATATGGTAGACCAAACAACCATACAATAATAACCTATATATTATATATAACTAACATAATTTTGTAATGAAAAAGCAAACAAACTAGAGATGATCGGCTTGGGTCTCAGTTCGGCCCTTATAACTCTTCTAAATAGGGGATCCAACGCCAAAAAAACACACCGCGCATCGGCGCATCGGCGCTTGACCGCGACCGTGAACCGGATTTGACCGAGACCTCCGCCGCGACCGGACTCGCAGTCTCCAGGCGCACTCCACCAGAGCATCCACGATCATGGCCTCGGTCGCTGTCGTCGGTCCGCGCCGTCGGGTCGGTCGGTCCGCGCGAAAAGGGATATCTGTTGCGTCTATGTTTGGTGTTCTTCAGTTTCTTCCGGTGGTGGAAGGGTGGATGAGTGGCTTCCTGGGTAGGTTCTGCGTCAACTCTTGCAACATCAGTGTTGAACCTACCAAGACCACGTTGACCCACTAACATGGAAGTGGAAACCACATACTGTAGGTTCAGGGGAAAACCATAAACGGGAGCTGAACTCCACGTCATTCCCATGTCCATGTGTTCCTGGGAGAGTGCCCTTCTTCCCTTGTTGCCACCGGGGTCTGTCGACCACCACGACCAGCGGCATGTGTTCTCGGCGATGGCGCTGCGTTTGGTCGATCGGAAAACGAAGGTACAAACGAATACAAACGATAAAAATAAAACACTCGATCCACCGTTGTGGTTGAGCGGGGTGGACACACAATCCGGCCCAATCCCCCAAAGTGACGGTGACCTGCAGGTGAAGAACCTGACGGAGTTTGGATCCGAAACCAAAGGGGAATGCAAAACAACACATGGCCCATACACTCCATGCATGGAATATATGCCTACATTGACCCCCCAAACCTCCCCAATGTAGATATATGGCAGTCCCATGGAGTGTCCGGGTGGTGGTGCCTCCTCTGGCCCTGGCCGCTGCGCATGCGCATGCACCAACTTCTGCGTACCCAAGGGTTCTAACACCCCGAGGGTTCTATCAGAATAGGAATCGGGTTCATCCTGTTCCGATTCCAAGTGTTCAAACGAAGCCACCCCTGAGAGATGAAACGCGTGGATCATGGGTTGAACCTGGGACCTCCTCCAAGAGCATCGAACCACTGGTTGTCATTGGATTTGCGCAGGAACTGGGAAAGAAAAACACATCTATTGTTCACATGCCAAGGGATTCACTCATATATCCTATAAAATCAAAGTCGAACAGCGAGGTAGTGAGCATCTTCAATTGGGCCCAGTGATTAAGGGAAGGAAGACATGGTCAAGATACCCCAAACAGGGCCTTTTCAGGGCTGGATTCCAGATTCCAGCTCTAACCGGCTACGAAAGTAGCGTCATACATGGTCAACTCCACCAATCTCTGAAGGTGATGCGTTGCGTCTGTTTTCTGCTGGAGGAATTCCTTTGTACAAACATCTATATGTGGGAGTAGTTATATAAATAATGCTCCTTGTTGTCCTGTCACCTGGTGTCCTGCTTGAATCGACTTGAAACCTCCCCTCCCGGAAAAAATGATGCCAGTGAGAAGTCCAACACTGGCCCAGTTTTCTTGTGGGAAATCTATACATACAGGTCCAGTCTGACCCAGGTCCAAACCTGGTCCTGAAAACCTCCTGGTTCGTAGTGTTTTTGTATGGTCAACTCCAGCAAAATGAGGTCCCTTTGGTGAATACTATAAAAACATCTGAACATGACATCCCTGCAACACATTCAATGATGGCCAAAACGGAGGAGTGGAAGGACGGTCCCAACCAAACGGTACGGCAGTGGTACCCTCCCTGCAACGCACGGAAGTGGACAACCCCCTATTTGTAAACGAAACTGGTCAGCTGGAGGGGGCATGCCATCCACTTCCGTTGCAGGGAGGGTAGCGATCCGAGAAGCGCTTGGCTTACAACCCGAGATTGTTCGACCAAAAACAACATGGTGATCTTTTCCACCTGTGCGGGAATCCTGGGGCAAACATTCGAAGGCTCATAGATCCTGACCCACCGCCGCCGTGTGGGTGTTTCGGCTGGCTTTGTCGTCGTCCGTCTAGTGAACCTGGGCCTTGAACAGGAGGGAACTTTTGAAACACCTTGTTTGTGTGACTGGAGGCTTCATAGTCGTGTCGTTGAAGCGCCAGAAACACGTTGAAACTGAGGGTTCGCAGTGGGAGCGGAGCAAATCTGACATCAGATCTGAACCGTTTCAGGAACCGCTGACTTCCTTGACTTCTTGCTTTTCAAAACTCCGATCTCAACACATTCCAAAGGTTAAGAAGAAGCAACCACCTGCCGCAAACACCCAGCAAAAACATCTCTCAAAATCCTGAAGCTAAGAAAGGGTCCCTCCCACGTCCCAGCTCTCGGCCTCTCTTGAAACGACGTGTTTCATCGTTTTTCCATGGAACGGTGGGATCCATCGGTTGGTCCGTTGGTCCGATGTGTCGGGGGGGACCCGAAGGATGCCGCGGCCAAGAGGCTCCGAACTTCAAAATCTCGTTGTACATGTCGCCTGGGTCGGTCCGGTCATCCGCTTGGGAGGGCCGTGGCGAGTCGGACCGTCTCGGTTAAGCCAGCGGAGGAGGCGTGGCGAGATCGACCGAGTGAATCGCGAAACGGTGCGAGGTTGGTTTTGGAGGGGACGCATCAAATGACCGACTCCCGAGCCGTTTCCCTGGAGAATACAGGTCAAGCGTGTTCGTTCGCTGTTGGCTTTCATTCAAACGCTCTGCCTTTGGGGCTCCAAAGTTTGATCTTCAGCTAAGAGCAGTGTATTGGGATCTGCACCTCGTGGCAGCGTGGGCCTCCCAGCGAGGGCCTCCATCATGGTCCTTGAGAATCCGGACCCCTTCCAGGGATGGCAGGGGTCCAACCCCTGCCGGGCCCTACGGTCCCTCCTCCAAACAGGAACAGGGTCATGTCCCATCATCTGGACGTTGGTCTAGCACACGAAGAAAAATTGTGCACCGATAACCGAGGTCCCACGCGAGGGGAACGGGGGGAGATGTCTTTTCTTTTTTGGTGAAGGTACAGATGTTGGTCAAAGTCAAACACTCCATGGGACTGCCATATATGCTTATACATTGGGGTGGTGCCAGGGGGGGTCAATGTAGGCATACATGGAGTGTCTGGGAAAGTCAAACAGCAGCCGGACTCTTGATGACTCCTGCTTCCCTTCGCCTTTTCGGGGGAGAGCGGACCGTTTGGAGCGGTCCGAAGCGAGAACCAACGAATCTTCCCGGTCGATTTTTGACCTCGGTTTTGATTTGGAAGGTTGGTGGGTCCAAAATAGACGAGGTCATTCAGGTTCTAGAAATCTACGTGCCACCGTGCCACTCGTTCCCATCCGCATGGGAGCGCGCCCTCTTTCGCCGCTTTCAACGGCACGCCGAGCAGCGAGTGCCGCCGGAGAAGCCACGCCAATTCGCGAAAATGATGACCTCGGTCGCGCGAACGGCGAAGCGCTGCGACCGGCGGTGCAAGGGGCCGCGCTGCGCCGAAGGGCGGCGCTCCGCAGTTGGAACAGCCCTAGGGCTCCTGGCCTAGCTCCTGAGAAGGTGGTTGGGGTGGATTTGAGGGGTCTAACCACCTTCCGAGAATATGGTTGGAGCCCGATAGGGTAGAGTTGAAGGAAGAAGGTTGGTAGCATCATGATGAGCCACAGTGCTGGATGTTGGTCCATCAGTGACACACACGACTGCCAGGGACATTCGCCACCACGACGAGTAGACACCGAAGACAATTCGATGTGACAGGTCAACAACTGCATGGAGACATATCCGCGAAAACAAGACCTCTTTTAAGAAGGTTGACAAAGATATGTGATGTTGAATGTTGATCAGGAGTTGTAAACCCATTCTGGTAGTCTTGTTGTTCTTTTCTTTTTAAATATTATAAGGTCAACAGTCCTAGAAAACCATACCCCTTGCTCCATGAAACTAAGTACCCCGCAAAGTATTCACTATAAAGCCTCAACCTATATACCTTTGTATGTAAACCGTAACAACAGCACAACAAAGTAGCAACTTATCCGCCGACCCCTTGCGACTGCAAGGGGAGCGCGTGAGAGAAGGTACGAGTGCTCATGATGTGGAGGGTTCAAGCCTGGTCGTGCTTTGTGGGGGCGCACGGAGCGGCCCCGGAGATGGCGCCCCAGACAGCGGGATAGAAGTGTTCCTATCGAGGTGCGAAAGCGGAAGAAAGGGCTTGCTCGAGGCTGCTTCAAAAACTGGTTTTACGGGATCCGAAAGCGAGGTTAGACATCTGGGCCTGCACTGGGAGGACAATTTTAGGACGATTTTTGGTCTCGAATTAGATGGTGGAAAGGCGCGGCGAAGCAGATTGCTGGGAGCCTTGGAGGGAGGGGACGAGCATGGTGTTGAGGGTACGAACTGTTTTTGGATGATTTTTGGTGTGGAAGTCGGGCTTGCTGGAGTTTTTGGTCTGGAAGTAGGGCTTCCGAAAGCGAAAGAAAGGGCTTGCTCGAGGCTGCTTCAAAAAGTTGTTTTACGGGATCCGAAAGCGACGTTAGACATCTGGGCCTGCGCTGGGAGGACAATTTTTGGACGATTTTTGGTCGCGAATTAGATGGTGGAAAGGCGTGGCGAAGGAGATTGCCGGGAGCCTTGGAGGGAGGGTACGAGCATGGTGTGGGCTAGACTGCTAGACATTTGCTAGACTGGCGAAGCACTCGGGAACAAATACATCTCGGTGAACCATTGCTTGCAGGGGATACGTCATCACACGGCCTGCTCTATCCATCATCTGACTATCCTTGCAGGGTTGCCGTACGCAATCTATGCACGGGCTCGCTACACCTCCATCTCTACGGCCATTACCACTTCTTTCTTTTCAGCAGTGGCCATCCTCGGCAGGTCAGATGAATTGCATGCCCAAAGCACGATCTATTTCTTCCCCGTATTCTTCTTCTTCTGCAGGTATCAATGTTCTCATCTCTGCACCTTCCTGCGACACAGGACATGTTTCTGAATAGGATCACTTCATCAAATGCTTGCTGCTCCATGCGTGGGGGGCGCCTGCAGCTGTTCCCGGTTGCTAGACATGACCCGTGGCAGATTGAATCTTTGCCCGTGGCGATCCTGCCCCCGGCTCTACTCGCCTCCAGCGATTCATCTCCAGCTACATAGCGATCCCCGCCGCATCTACCCACACAAACTCCTGGGCACACATGCCGCATTAGGAGGAATTTTCTCTAAAACCCAGTAGTTTGGGAGTTCCATTTTCATCTGCAGGGGAGAAGAGGCTTTGCCACCCATGGCGGATTTATGATGTGACCAACATCCTTCAGTGAAAGTACCCCAAAGCTGATCCGAATACCTCTTGAGAAAGCAGGTCATCTTGAGTCATCTTCAGGACTATAAGCTTCTAACATAGTGCATCAACATAATACCACTGGGGCACATACACAAGTAGTATACTTCATCCAAGCTTCGGTGGCCTCCTTCATCGGCTGCCCCTGGCCACTAGAGAGTACGGGTCCCACCCGCACCCCCGCAGCGATACCGTCTAGGAGCAGCCACGGACGGAAGCTTCCAAGAACTGACTGGACAAAAGCTCCACCAATCTGCCCTGCAGAACGTGGCCCGCATAAGCGGACGCTATCTTGTGAAGATGCGGCTGGCATGTCGTTCATGCTGTCCGGAACAAGGCGGAAATATGTAGACAGCTATAACAAACAAAGAAGAGACGGAACAGATGGTAGAGACGTACGCGAAAACTAGTTGCATGCACCAATGACCTCTGTTTTTTCCTTCGGGACAGGGCACACAGCAGACCTAATTTAAAGTTTCCAGCGGATGAAACAAGGAGAGCCGCGTCGACTGGATTCTGGCAATTTTCCTTCCAAACAGTGGACCCTTCCAAACTGGGCCCATGGTTGCGCGCGCGTCACAGGACGGAGGTTTCTTTGGAGGACTTTTGACACTCCGGAATGGCCAGGAAGAGACGTACAGGATGGCACCACAACATCACCACAGACAGCGCATCGAAACAGCCAATCCCGGCCTAGCTTCGGTCGCCTCCTTCATCGGCTGCCCTTGGCCGCTGGAGAGTACGGGTCCCACCCGCACCCCCTCAGCGATACCGCCCAGGAGCAGCCACGGACGCAAGCTTCCAAGAACTGATTGAAAGAAAGCCCACCACTCTGCCCTGCCGGACGTGGCCCGCTTCGCAGGACGCTAGCTCTTGAAGATGGATCTCCAACTGAAACCCGCCCATGCCCATTGTATCTGAGTGAATTAGATTAGTTTCATTAATTTCGTTCACCTCGTACCTCGTCTTAATTTCATGTTTTGAAATTATTCACCTCGCCTCGTTTAGTTTCAATAATTTCATTCACCTCGTCTGCATTTGGTGGGGGGGGCCTGAATGCCTGCCATGGCTTCCTGCACGTGCAAACTAGTAATCGGGCCTATTTCTTGACAATAGGTTGTTTTTTGTCTTTGGGATTCTTGGGGCTCTCTGCCCTGCATGGTGGGTGGAAGAAGCCCTGTAGCTCCTGGAAACTACACCCAACAGTGGCCCCTACAAGCCCCAATCCCTTCAAGCATGCCTTCAAGCATGCTTGGGACAAAAATCGGGCCTATTTCTTAAAAATAGGTTGCTTTTTGGTGTTTGGTATTCTTGGGGCTTCTGTGTGGCATGGTGAGTGGATCCCCTGTAGCTCCTGGAAACTACACCCAGCAGTGGCCTCTACAAGGCCCAATCCCTTCAAGCATGCTTGGGACAAAAATCGGGCATTTCTAAAAAAAGGTTGTTTTTTGTTTTTGATGTTTTTGGGGCTTCTGCGTGGCGTGGTGAGTGGGCCCCTGTAGCTCCTGGAAGCTACACCCAGCAGTGGCCTCTACAAGCCCCAATCCCTTCAAGCATGCTTGGGACAAAATCGGGCCTATTTCTTAAAAAAAAGTTGTTTTTTGTTTTTGGTATTCTTGGGGCTTCTCTGCATGGTCTTCTTGTCTGTGTGGATTGGGCATTGTCCTCATGAGAAGTGTCAGTTTAACCCGGTCGGATAACCACGCGCTTCGGAATCGAAAGCTCATCTGTTCAAATCCCTCTGTGGTGGTATTCTGGTGGCTCTTTCCCTTGCCGGTTCCCTTGAACTTCAAACACCGAAAATAAAGTCAGGCCTATTTCTTAAAAATAGGTTGTTTTTTGGTTTTTGGTATTTTGGGGGGCTTCTGTGTGGCATGGTGAGTGGACCCCCTGTAGCTCCTGGAAACTACACCCTCTACAAGCCCCAATCCCTTCAAGCATGCTTGAGGCAAAAATCGGGCCTATTTCTTAAAAATAGGTTGTTTTTTTGTTTTTGGTATTCTTGGGGCTTCTGTGTGGCATGGTGAGTGGAGTCCCTGTAGCTCCTGGAAGCTACGCCCAGCAGTGGCCCTTACAAGCTCAAACCCTTTGTGCTGCTGCTGTTGCTGGACTTACCTCGCTTATTTTCGTTTTGAAATTATTCTACCTCGTACCTCGTCAGGTGAGCTCGCCTTAATTTGCCCAGATTGTATCTGACACATGCCTGAGGTTCAAGCAATCGGGGTTCGTGGACGTTCTGGCTCCGAAAGGACGATGACAGTAGTTTGATAAAATGCTCGAACCAACCTCGCATTAAATATGTTGGAAGACCTGATGAGATTTAGACAATGCATATCTTGGGAAAATGCGTCTCCCACTCTTGCTCTGAACAAACACAAACATCCAATTCTGTTCTTCGATTCTGTTCTGAACAAAACAATCAATCACAACGCATCCAATCCGAGACATGAACATGCTTGTCACAAGCTGCGAGTTCCATGACATGTTGGCTTCCTTCAAACACCCTGCCAATCACCTGAGCTAGCACAAAGCTTGACAAATCACTCATGACTCATGCAACACAAGCAGCTCCCTGTCTAAAAAGAACCTGGCGCAGCTCGCTCCCTCCGCCACCACTGGCATCACCTCCACCGGACCCAGTCAGCCCATCCGCATCCCATCAAGCTTGAGCTTTCCGGACTGGCAAATTCTCTCCCCGGTTGAAGTCTTTCAGCGCTTGGGCGGTCTTGAAAGCACTGTCCGGGAACCACACCTCACGGCGAGGCGAAACGCGGCGGAGGCCTGCGGAGACGCTGCTTGCAGCGCTGCGAAGGCACAGGTCCGACGTGGTCCTAACATGTCCTAATATAGCAATGCCAACCCGGCGGGTAGAAGAAAGAAAACGTCCAAACTGGTGGATTGCCGCAGCTATAGTTTGGGTGAGAGTACATGTCTTCGGCGCGATCTCTACTTGTTCAGCGAGAAATCGGAGCGGGACCGTCGTCCCACTTGCTATCAACACATCGGCCACCTTATCCGAGCTCGATCGGTGTCGGGATTTGCGCCAAGCCTTTCTTAATCGATCGATCTTAATATAAACAATCAAGGCCAAAGGCCAGGGGTCTATCTTTCGTCATCACTTGCTTCTGTAAAACGTGCTGCCAGCCTGGCATCTGTTATTTTGTTCGGCGTGTCATCATTGGAAGATCCCTTGGGATTCAGGCCTCGGAGACAATTCTCCCCTGCAAACTGGGGGTTGCCCATTTCCATCTTTGTTTGGGGGAGGGTACCACCCAGTGGAAATCGCTCTCTTGGACACTCTCTTCTATTCATGATCCAGTTGAAAATATCTAAATTAATATTACTCGTTAATGTATTTTAATGTTGTTTCTCTTTGGTTTTGCATCAAAGCAGTATATAGCAGTACTATCAATTGTATGATATTGTATGATGGGGTCACCTCTAAACATCATGGCATGGTCTAAAGATTCTAAAGGAGCACGAAACAGCTGGTCATATTACTTGTAGTAGTTGAATTGAACAACTTGTCCTCCGATTTCCAAACTTCAAACAATCAAACTTTTGATTTGTCCCTCATGCCAACCCCCCATGTTATGATTCTCCTTTGCAACATGCTGTACCTATGGTTCTTCCAAATGAGCTAAGCCCCTACCCGGGTCACCAAGGAAACCTGTATGCTCACCGGTTGCATCAACGTGGCCGCTGGTTGTCGGCTTTTGCTCCACCGATTCCCGTGCCGAAAACCGCGCCTTTCCTCCCATGCTCTCCTTCACCTGCCACCGACGAACCGCCAAAAGTCCACCAGTGGGGCAGGGCAATGATGACCCAAAACCACACAATGTCCCACCTGTTCACCTCCCGCTGGACGATCAAAACTATCAGTTTGGAAAACACATATCGGTATATATATATATATATATGCAACTCCAACAACCAAAAAACGGTAAAAGCAAACTAAACAAAACAGGTCACTTAGTTCCGCACATTTTACACAATCCTTGAAACAACAAATAACCTGAACCACAATGGATGCTACATGTTCCACCGGTTTCATCAAATATAGAGCCATGGGACCACCACCCAAGTTCACCAGACCCCACCAGCCCTGTCCTTCATTGACGGTCAAAAATCCTCATCCATAACAGGAAACATGAATCAATCAACGATTCCCCAATTCCACCATCTTCCCAACTTCCCCGGTGCGTTTTCGCAAAACAAACTTACGGTGAGTAGCAGGATGCTAAGTCATCTCGTTGGGCCACTCACTCCCCCATTCCTACCGACTATATGCACCAGTCATCTTCAGGGCGTTCCCATCGTGACCCTTTTCCAGACACTCCCGCCGTCCCCTGCGTCCCATCCATCCCCGCCTCGCAACTCTCGGGATTCGAAGGATCGGCTGGAACCAGCCGATCCACGCTGCGAGTCTCCACCTCGGACATCTTCGCGGAGGCAGGAAGTCCGGTCCGGCCCAACAAGCGGAAAAAACGGCGCCAGTGACAACCGGAACCTGAGTGAGACCTTTATACTTTAGAATCACCAGCCACCCAAAATATGTGTGCTTTTACATTCCCCAAGCAGTGTGGACTAGGGGTTCTTACGGTAGTAGTTAAGCACCTGTGTTAGATCACTGCGTCGCGCGAGCGTGTCCGGCTAATTCGCTGCTATGTTCAGTACATTCATGCCTCTCAAAATCGTCGACGTGCATTTCGACTTGACACGCTCGCAGAATCTGCGTGGGCACGGCGGGTGCTTCTATATAGCGACTGCGCTCTCGTTGTGATGCCGCGCGCATTTTCGGATATGGTGGTCATTTTTCGTGGCAAGCGCGAGGGAAACCTCGTGTTTTCGTGGTTTAAGTCGACTTTTCGTGACAGGTGCAAGGGATCGGAACGGTTTTAAAACCGAAATGCAGATTTCGTGGCAGGTATATAACACTTTGGACATGGTTGTGATCTTCGAGGCGCTCTGATTTTGTGACGAGTGCAGTGAATCGTGACTTTTGGAGATGTGGCTCGTTTGCAGATTTCGTGGCAAGCTTTGTGAACCTCGGAGTGAACATTTCGTGGCAGGCAGCACTTTGTGAACCTCGAAGGGCAGATTCGTGGCAGGCATAGCACTTTGCAAACCTCGAAGTGCAGATTTCGTGTAGCCGGCGCCGTCGGTGTAACTGATGTAGTCGGTGTGCCGGTGTCGTCAGTGGCGGCAGTGGTTGTGCTGGTCGGGCGGTTACGCTGGTTTCGGTGTTCGCGCTGTCTATGCTGGTCACACTGGGTAGGCACACATGTAAAGGTGAGGAGCTTTGTGGTTTTGCCGCGTTGGTGCCGACGTTCGCATAGGTCTTGGAACTCTTTGAGGCTGTAGAGATCCCTTCCCCAGATCACGACCCAATGTGGGTCATCGAGTCTGTTGTTCAGGGCTCTGTCAGTGATACTCGCGATGTCCTCATCGATGTATATGAGCTTGGCAAACTCCATGTCATGCGCTGTCTTGTGACCAATGCCATAATCCACCTGGGTTTTTGCCCTCGGTGGTGTTGGTAGATGCCCATGTCCAGCAATGTCCCTTAGCTGGATGTCCTGGAGAGTGATTCCGTGCTCAGTCATTCTTTCGATGAAGGTGACATCATTCTCATACCTATCGGCCATTGAGGTGTAGCCCAAGCCAGTAGCCCTTTTGAGCTGCTTCCTTGCGGTCTCAACGAAGTCTCCTTCCGGGCTCCGCATGCCACGGGCAGATTCCTCGTGGAACTGCTTGCTCTGGCCACCAAGCCGTTCAATGGTGTCGGCATTGAGCTCACTGACCAGGTCCTGCTCGCTCCCAGAGTCGATGAGCCATTGATGGCGTCCTTTTGGCGCAGGCGTGGCAACGGTTGGTGGAATCAACACAGTGTGGATCTTGCATGGGGCTCGTAGATTCCTACAGCATTTGCAAGTCAGACTTTCAAGGTCATCGACACAGTTGAAACCGCATGATGGTTGAACCGAATTGCCAAATTGCTTCACCGTTTCCTGTAGCTTTCTGGCTGCCGTTTTGGCATTCAACACATGGATTGGGTCCACTTTCTTTGCGGCTTCTGCAGTGGTGAGAACTTCATCATACTTCCTAGGACCATGTACAACAGGGTTGCATTCTCTTCACTCCTACCCTTTTGTCGAAGGTGACTCGCTTTTCACTCCCTTTTGCCCTCTCTTTTCCGGGGCTACGGTCCGAACCGTGCTTGCGACGCGTAGCACTGCAGGCCTAGTTCTGTCGGACACAAGGAGCGGCCGGCTTTTTCGGCTTTGGTTCCTTCTTGGGCTTCGGTGAGTTCGGCCGAGCTGGGTCCTTGGGACTTGGGAGCTGCTGCACCCTTCTTTTCGTGTAGGTACAGGCATTTGTTCCCACGACGGCAGTCCCCGCGAGCGAAATAGATGCAAGGAGTCTTTGCCATTTCCTCCTTTATTGAGTTTCTTCTTTGGGTCACGACTGGGATAGCGAGGTGTACGCTGTCTAGACGGCGACCTATCCTTCTTGTCATGACGATACGGACAGTCTTTTCCTTTGGCACACTTCCCCTTTACGAAGTCTCTACATGGGATCTTCTTTTTGTCAGGAGTCCCCCCTCTTGGTGGGGTCTTCTCCCTCTTTGCCGGGGGCGCCGCCGGCAGTCCTGCCCGGTCTTTGGGATTGTTCGGCTTGGGTTCCCAGAGAGCCCAAAGACCTCTAATTAAGGGAAAACCCTCTAATTAAGGTGAAGCCCTTAAAAACCAACCTCTATTTAGATGTTAATCCTTTAATTAAAGGTCTTTACCCCTTAATTAGAGGTCTTTGGTCCCTTAAAAAAGGTATAATCCTTTAAATAAAGGGTTTTGGTGCTAAAAACATACAACCCTTAAATAAGGGGTTTTGATGGCTCATGATTGGTGGGAAAAACATGTCAAACACATGTTTAGCTGACATGTTTAATCTGGTGAAACCTCCTGTTCCACTAAAGGAGGTGCCTCCTACATGAAGGAGCATTGTATATTTTTATCATATTAGTTGTATATTGTCTGTTTGAAGGAGAAGCCTCCTGCAAAGGAGACTTCTCCTGTTACCCCATCCCAACCCAGCAGCTGCAGCACCTTTTTCTCAAAGCGAAGGGACCTGGTGCAAGGCTGCAAACTTATGGAACATGCCTTGTGCCACAGCCAAGCAACTGAGGTTACCTCCTCGCCTTCTAGCAAGTTCTGACATTTGCCCTCCCCAATCCTCATCTCTGTAGGTCCACCCAGTGGATGGGGAGGCTTTGGGGTCAAATGTCAGTTCCAAGAACAAATGTAGTTTTGGGGTAACCTTGAAAAGTTGTCGACCTTGCTGGACAGAAATTTGGTTCAAGGTGACATACAAAGCAGCAAACTTCAAAGCTTCTCTGTGCAAAGCACTTGGTTCAAACACTTGCTGGCTCAATTGCTGGTAGCAATTGTGCAAATGTTGGGCACATTGGATGACTGCAGCTTCAAAAGAATCTGCATTGTTGAGCAATACTGTGCATTGCAACAAAGAAAACAAAATCAAGCCTTTTGCCTCTCCTGTTTTGGCTCTCAACTTAGGAGAAGTAGAACTGGAAGACTTTTTCTTGTCTTTGTAAAGCATGGAAGCCTTCAGCAAAGGCATTTGGGAATCAATGGCATACTCCTTGTAGTAGTTCTTCATGCTGACATGCAAAGCTTTGCACCTCTGGTCCACATTGTTCCCAGGCAGCTTCTCTGACAACAGGACAAAGACAGAGGCTAAAGGTCATACATAGAGAAATAAAATAAGAATCACTAGGTTTATGGTAAATAAGATATTCATGGTCAATGCTCATGTATGCATAGGAGGTGGTGGCCCTTCTCCTGCTGTGCCAAAACCGGAAGAAGTGCCTGCGCCAGCTGCTGCTGCCACCGCAGAAGTTCCCAATGGGGGGGGCGTCCCCCCTGAAGCTCCCAATGAGGCTGCCAATGAGGTTGGGGAATCTCCCAATGAGGAGCCCAAGCCAGAGCCTGGGGCCAAAGATACTGAGAACTGAATATCTTCTCACATATCTTCCAAAGCCATCTCAGCTTGAAAAAAAGGTGTTGCTTTGCTGCTGGGTGGTGATGGATGATAAAGCTCCTTGGTGGGCAGGAGCTACAAAAAATAATACCTCCTGAACTAGGAGGTCAATAATCAATGGTTGATATGTTAAAAAAACCTCCTGGGATTAGGAGGTATATAAATAATTTAGGGCTTCTACAAAGACCAACCATTTAACTTCATTTAACTTCATTTAACTTGGTCCATTTAACTTCATTTAACTTATACATTTAATTGGAAATGCTTTCATTTTGGTAAGTTAAATGAAGTTAATTTAACTTATGGTAAGTTAAATGAAGTTAATTTAACTTGGAAAATGAAAGCATTTGCAACTAAATGGCCAAGTTAAATGAAGTTAATTTAACTTGGGCTGGTTTTCACAATTTAATTGGAAATGCTTTCATTTTCCAAGTTAAATGAAGTTAAATATATACATGTTTGTGGCCGTGAGCTAGTTTGATAAGATTTTAGGTGAACAACACAAGGTTTGAGGATTGTGCACTACATTCCTTTTGGAAACAGTGCATTTCAAATATCATTTCCAACAGCTTTTTCTTGGTTTCTTCATTAGTGCATTCTCTGCCAAAGATTTTGGTAGCTGCCAAAGACTTTTCATTGCAAACAGACATTCTGCATTTTGATAAGCATCACTGCAGCTTTTGACTATCAAGATACAGGTGCACCTCATTTGACACAGAGGCTGCAGGTTCTGCAACTGCCTCAGGCTCGTCCAGGGCCAAGGATGCTGCAGGCTTCTTCAAAGCTGCAGAGGCTGGCCTTTTCATCGGTTTGGAAACAATGTGCAATGCCAGGTTGGGAGTATCTGACTCACACTGCTCCTCATTGCCAAATTGGTGCAGCAAAAAGCCTTTGTCCCCAGGAACACATTGGGCTTCCAATGTCTCACCATTGGCTAGCTGCCTCTTCATGACACCCTTCTCCTGGTCGAAGAATAGCAAAAGCACAGCAGCAGTGTCTCCATTCTCGTGTTCAGGAGCTACTTTCATGTCTGCAACAGGAGGGGCATTCCCCTCCTGAGAAGAATAATCCATTGCAAACACTTGGGATTTCATGGCTCTCCTTTTGGAAGGTGGGCTCACTCCATAAAGCTCACAGGGATTCACTTTGCTACTGCTGCTAGCTTCAGCTTTGCTGCTGCTGGCAGACTGAGCAGCCGCTGCCACAGGCAAAGAAGCTTGGGAGAATGAACGCTTGGGAGCAGCAACTTGGTGACTGGAAGGCTCCAGGTGATCCCATTTAGACATGGCATCCATCACCCTTTTGACAGCAGGATGGGTTTTGGCACCACTGGTGGTGCTCTTTTTTTACTTCTGCATTCAACCAAAGCAGAAGCCAGTTGCCTGCTAAAATATTTCGCTTCATCCACACTGGTGCCCTCAAAGGTCTTCAAGACAGCAGTCTGCAAAAGAGTTCTGTTGACCCTGGGTGTCTTTGACAGCAAGGCCAGCAAAAAACTCTCATAGGAAGCTACCACCATGGCAAAGTTCGTGTCTTTGTAGCCATCTCCCTCTCCCTTAGGAGCTTGTTGACATCTTCCTGGCTGCAGGAAGTGGATGCTCTGCCAAGTTTCCCTTGGCCAGACATGGTGACACACAGCTGGCCTAAAGCTTGGGAAAGAAAAGGCTGCAACATGTATTCCTTGGCCTGGCCAAACACAAATTCCACACAAACTTGCACAGCTCACAGCAAGGAGCTCCTGACATGACACAAGGAGCTCCTATGAGTCATTATCAACAAGAAAACTATATTTGTTATGTAGAAAAACATACCCTTGAAAACCCTCTAATTAAGGTCTATTGAAAAGACCTTAATTAGAAGGTTTTCACCTTAATTAGAGGTTCTAAATTTAAGAGGTTTTCATTTAGAGGGTTTTGGGCTGTCTGGGTTGATTCTTGTCAACAATGCGATCACGATTCTCCCTAAGCCGTTCACGATCGATCAGGTCACAGATCGCCTTCACAAGAGATGAATATGTCTTGCTGGGCTCACCCTCTTTTGCCCGATCGTAGGTGTCAATATCGTCCTTGAGAAGAGTGCTAGGGCGAATTTGGCGGAGGAGAACATCACGAAGAACGGTCTCTTCGGGTTCTTTCTTCATACCCGCAAGCACAGCGTCCCAACTTCTTGAGGTCTGCAATGGTGTCCCCAAACTTCGCTACCTTCAACAGGTCCTCCAAAGAATAAAGGGTACCAGCTTCCTCGGATGTTTTGAAGTAGTCATCAAACATTAGAAGTACCGTGCGACCCCTGGTTTGATGTCCCTTCTTTGCTTGCTCCTCCTTATGATTAAGGATTCTATGTCCCAGGTCACCGCGGGCTGACTTCGTGAGAGCAGCGGTGAGCTTCGTGTCCAGAGTCACGAACTTACCTGGATTTTGGAGCTTTGCCTCGAGTTCAGCACGAGAGAGTTTGGGGTCCCAAACTTCCATGATCCACTCCCATGCTTCATCGGGTTTGTCTGATGATGATCGAACAAGCTCACGAGCAAGATTCTTCCATTGAGGTCTCAGGAGTGGGCATGTCCGGTATGGCAATGGTATTGGGTTCTTTAACCCTTGGTTTGCCTTCATCATCCTTTTTGGATCTGATCTCTTTGAGTAATTCCGCTAGACTGCTCATCAAAGCATTGGCGTCTCCTGAAGAAGCTGGGACTTTGCCATCAACTCCTCCATCACCTATACTACATTGGACATTCGATCGTCTGCCGTTTCACGTGCATCGACAAAATGCTCTTCTCTACTCTGGGCATGCTCTGGAGCAGCGGGAGCTACTGAACCAGCTGACGTTCGTGAGGGATAGAAGTCACTGAGCTTCTGAGCAAACGTTGCGTCAAGCCTGGCCTTCCAATCGATCTCCGCCGCTTGGGGTAGAGCCTCGCGGCCTGCTGATTCGGATATCGCAGGCGTGGTCGTCCCTGGCTGGTGATGTACTGGTTCACCTTCTCGCGGCGGAATCATTCCGTCAAGCTGGTCTTGAAGGAGTGCGTTAGTCTCTGAAGCCTTACGCAATTCGTCCTCAAGGTAAGCTTTCCTTTCTGTCCATTCGGTCTCCATAACTTGGTGCTGCCTTCTTTCTTCAAGGAGTCCTCTAGCTTTGCTCGAGGCATCCTCAACCATCTTGTCAAACATTTTTTTCCAACTCACTCATCTTTTCGTTCATCTTTAGCGTATGAAGCTTCTCAGCTTCTGCCTTTTGCTGCGCCATCTTTTGTTGGTGCAGTTCGTCCGCACTAGCAACTTTGGCCTGACTTTCAGCCAATTGCCTTTCCAACGAGTTGATCCTTTCTTGCATGGACATGACTTGCTTGTCACATACTTCTTTCATTTGATCAATAGCAACTCTGCATTGCGAACCTAAGGCTTGGATTGTAGACTGCATGATCTCTCGATGTCTCTGTTCTGCTTCATTGCGAACAGCTTCTTCGTTTCCTGATGCAATCTGATGAACATTGTTTTGTATGAATTGGAAATACGCGTTCACGCTCTCAGATCCCATCAACCACGTCCTCGGGCACGAGGTTACCCCCCGGCGGTCGGTACGACATTGCCGGAGTAGGGAATGAGGGCGAGCGCGGCATTCACACCGTCGTCTGTAGCCATGGCAGAGGCTACGGCTGATGACCTGTATTTTCAGGCTCAACCACTAAAATACAATCAAATTACCGCTAAGCTGCAACTGCAAGCGCTCCTTGCTGCGTGCTTCAGCCAAATTGGCACATGTGCGTAAAAGCATAGCATTAGGTGATGTATTTCAACACCAAGAAAGCCAAAAAATGCAATGTTGATTTCTGGTGTCTCCCGTTCCAAAATTTTGGTAGTTTCATTGTCTCTATTCTTTGGCTGGCTGGGTCTACAAAATCACACACTCTACAAAATGGGTCGTCATTTTTTTATTTGGGAATTTGCACTCTACCTGACTTGCAAAACTGGTACCCTCTACAGAATGTATCATGGACTGTTTCTGGTGTTGTTTGATCATGTTTTTCTCTATTTATCCCCTTCCAGCACTTTCCCATTTTGTAGGGTGTGTCCCTGTGCTTCTGTAGGCCTTTGGGGAACCACTTTTCGTGCTATATACAGCTACATATATAATGTTTAGCACAACCTATCTTGGCTAAATCACAGGGGGATCAACATGAACTATACCGTACTTTCCCCTTCTCTACAAAATGAGCCTAGTCCTATTGTACTCTTGGCATCTGAATAGTCCAACAAAATCTCTCTGTGTGTGTCATCGTTTCATCTTGATTGTCATGTTGTACGTAGGCTGTAGACCCTTTTGAAGGCTTCATTTTGTAGAGCCAAAAAATGATTACTACAAAATGCTCTTCCACATTTGAGTCATAAAATATAGCCCAAGTATCTCTACAAAATGCTATAAACATCTTGGAGATACATTCTCTACAAAATGGTTTGCGAAGAATCTCTGCAAAAGGCTCTTCCATGCTCTTCCACATTTGAGTTGAATAGCCTAAAAATCTCTACAACATGCAGTCGACAAAATGCTATGGCAGACTCACCTCAAATAAACCAAACATCTCTACAAAATAAGACCTTCAAATGTCAAGGGTGTTCGGTGAAATTTGTAAAAAAATACGACTAATTCCTGGGCCTTGACGTCAGCTTGTTCTACAAAATGGGACTGGTGAGTGTGGGAACAGAGCCTTTAAAAAACGTTCTCTACAACATGGCGTGGTACGTTAAGCCATGGGGTGCCCCTTGAGTTCGACACCCACGTCGACACGTCGACACTTGGGCACCCGGCCGCAATGACACCCATTGGAATGCCTGTCCCGAACGACCAAAGGAAGTCTCCGGAATCTGAAAGAACCAAACAAAATGCGAATGGTGATTCTATATTTCGGGGGTGGGCCTGGAATATACCCCAAACGACCTTTTTGTATGTTTGTTCAATTCAGGATTCTTAAAACCCTATAACAAATTTATATATAGTTGAGGACACGCTGAGCTTCCAGATTCCAGACTCTTATATATCACATAACAACTCTAGATGTTCTCCACTCAAACAAAGAATTCCTATGGCAAAATTGAATACGAGTATGTTGAACTTTGTAAAGGGGTATGCTGTCCACGAGAAGACAACCTTATTGCAAAACAAATATTTATAATGGACGATGAAGTTGAGATGATTAATTGTATTTTGGGAGAATTCTTCAAATGTGTCTTCGTGTACAAATGTGATAAAGCCACACCCTTTTGCCGCTTTATGGGCGTTGTGGTTGGTCCACCCACTCAATCCCAGTCACAATGTTAAAACACGTGATGAAACATGTTGAAACCTTGTCCCATTCCAACAAATAGATTGTATGTTTCAGTCCAAGTATTTTTCTATGCAGCCCAGCAGCCCAAAGTAAAACATGGCACAGTAAAACTTCATCCCAAATCTCCCAGAAGTCGCAAAAGAGCTTGCCAGAGCCGGAAGCTTCGAGGCTTTGACGACCTTCTCCGTGCCAGAAACGGACACCCCAAAATGCACCAACCACACAAATCGTACAGGTTGCACCTTGGACTCCATTCACATCCGTGAACCGGTCTTAGCAAACTAACGAAGCAGCGCGCAAGTTGCGCCGTTCACCACTGGAACCAACCAGTTTGTCACCTTCACCTGGGTCACTGGTGCGACGAGTGCATGGAATGAGGGCGGCGGACCCGCCCCCTCACTATGAAGAACCTCAGGGGTTTCCAGCCACCCTCATTCCATGCACTCGTCGCACCAGGATCCCCTGGGTGGGCTTTGTCCGCGCCGGATTCGCCTCGCCGGTGGTCGACCGACGAGTTCTTCTTCTTCTTCCGGAAGGAGATCAGCAGGTATCCAAGGAAATCTGTGGAAGAACAATTATCATGCATAATACACAATTACTATATTACGCATATGTCATTTAACATTCTATATAAATATAACATCTAATAACAATCAATTAAGCTAGTCAAACCCAAACGGGATCCATATTTAACTTATATAACATATATATATATATTATGCAGTATATCAATTGTGATCTCCGATCTCCGGTTTCCATCGAGTGCTCGAACGAACGCAACCCAACCCGAGCCGGTGGCCTCCCAAGCGGGCACGGCCGGTGATCACGGTCCGGCCCCAGCCCTGAACGAGGCGAACAAGGCTGGTTTGCCGGTGAGCGGAAGGGAAAGGACGTCGGTTCGTTCGGTGAGCCGAAGGAGGTTTGGGGGTGGCACACATCATGTTGAAACATGTTGAAAAAACGGTCTCAACCTGTCATGTACTGCTGGTCTCACCGGTCTCACCCTGAATTTGGTGTCCAATTAATGGACCATGTCAAACGATGACCTGTTGGAGGGTGCTGCCGGTGACATATATGGTCATGGATGGTCATGGTTGTTTCTGTTCAATAACGAGTGGTTTCAAAGGATGGCACAAAACCCAAGATGTGCTGAACAAATGGGATTGTGATGGATTGTGCCATCTACGCTGAACCCCCTGTATGTTCTGATTGCTGTTGTTGTTCTTCTGCTGCATCGTTAATTTTGCCTTTGGCCTTCAAGCTAGAATTGAGATTCGATCAAGTGCTATGCAATGTAAACCCGGCAGGTCTACTTCTACATCTTCTACAGAATCTATAGAAGACACAACACTGACTTCATCATCCGCATCCGCAGCTATCAGCTTGAGGCAAACCACACACGTCTCTAAAATCTCCAACACCCACTGAAACATCTAAACGTACATGTTCAAAGCATTGCTGTTTCTCTTCACGCACACAAAAGCGAGGTTCGCCAATCCCAAAGCATTTTTGTGTCTGCTCGTGTCTACTGTAAAAAGAAGAATCTGGTGACAGGAGCCATGGTCGCCGGCAGCACGGAAGGTTCTGAAGCTGCCTGTAGTCAAACTGGCTAAAGATCAATCGCCTTGCCCTTGAAGATTGAGGGGAAATGACATCAGTTATTACATGCAATCAAAGTAGACCCGAGAGATCTTCCAAACGTAAAGAGATCTTCCCAAAGAGCCAACTTCCGAACTTCTCAGGGACAACGCTGAAAATGTGAGACATCCAGCCACGACGTCTCTGTTGGCAGCTAAAACGGCGTCGACGGGCGTCTCAAGCGGAGTGACTGAAGTCGCAGGGACATAGCCCCAAATGTTCCACAATTCCATACCTTGTCCTTTGCTGGGAAATGCTGGGAAGGTTGCATAGGGTCATCTGTGATGTAGCCCTACAAAGTCAAGGTTGACATGCTTGCTCTGAAAAACCCGATCAAAGTGGGGCGCCCCGCCTCCAAGTATTCGACCCAGCTTCCAGCGTCGAAGAAGCCTCTCATTCGGTTGCCCTCATGGTCGATGACCCCCTGCGACGGACGCGCGACTGGCAAGGCTTCCGAGCTTCGGTGCAAGGAAGTGGATGTGGCTCTCGAAGAGAGTGGAGGGGTAGACATGTTGGGGAAAACCTTGGATGGGCAACTCTGTTGGGGGAATGGGCATCTTAAATCATCTTAATATCCCCCTTACTTGTTGCATATCGGCGAGAGATTGCAAATGATATATACTCATTTCATAGAGCCACATGTATGGAGGATATCTTATACTCTTCTTCATGCGCCTTTGTCAAGTTCGTTCCATGGTTCGCTGGTTGTCAGTCGTTCCACGACTCCTCAAGGCGCCGGAGTCTGTCTGCTGTCTACAGGGAGTCTAGGAGAGCCTGCTGCTGGTGAGAAAACAAAGCAGGCTAAAGAAAACAGTCAGAAACAGAGGACCTTCCCTGTTGGCGGATATTTCACTATATATTTGATACTATTTGATACCCCATGAACATCTGCTTGGCCCGCGGTTGAACCCATTCTTATAGTGGCATGCTGGCTAGTGGAGTATACGAGATTCCTGGCGACATCGACCTCGACCTCGTGTCAAACGGACGGCCAAACACTCGCTTCGCGGCGCGGAGCCCGAGCAGCCGTGGTTTGGGCCCCAGAAAAAAACCGTTCCGACACGCGAGAAAACTGGAACATTGAAGGGGTGAACAAACTGATAGGTACGACTGGACCCGACAATGGCGCTTACATAATATACCTGCACCACCCTTTGGTGCAGAAAAATTTGCCTTACAAGGAGGATGAGCCCAATCAGCCGCTTCAAAATTACTGGAACATGTTCAAGTATGCAGAGCATGTATGTATATATCTAAACAAGCATTTTCTGCTTACACAGCACAGACAAAGCTGCCAGTAGCCCCGAGCTCACACTGTACCGCCGACATATTCGCATATTCAGGGTCCCGGCTCTAGCTAGAATATAGCGCAAAGTGACTCCATCGCCATAGAACCAGACAGGCCCTCTGACACAAGTTGCACAGACATCAAGCAATGAATAGATATAGATATATACATATCACAAAAGCCTCTACTTGCCATGCGCTACATGCACAAAAGCCCACAGATGACAGCACATGTCCAAGCTTCATGATCTCCTGCTGCATGTGCCCTTTGGGGCGCACTGCAAATAGCTTCCAGGACTTGCTGTTACAGTAGGTGTGCAAGGCGCTGATTCCTTCCTTTGCAGAAGGGATCTCAAAACAGTCAGTTGCATGAGCTACATAGCCAACAATCTGAAATAATGCCTGCAAGGTTCAGTGAAGGACTGACATGCTTCAACACATTGCTCAGCAACATGCCTTTCAAGCCATGTCTTGTGGCTCGGGATCAAATGAAAGTACTTGTCAATCTTCGCCAGGGTGAAGGAAAGTAGCGCCCATATATCTTTATCAACACCCTCAGCAGAAACCAAACAATCAACGGGTCCGTGAGCACAAGCTAACGTCATGACCGTCAAGGCAACATACTCTGAGCATCAACAGGACATGCAACATTCTCTTCTGGTTGCACTGTTCGTACAACATGGAGGAGCCACTTTGAAACCACAGTGGTGTCATGGCCTTTCCATGAGCATTTGGGATAGTCTGACAGCCTGAATGTCGACCCACAGGCACAACAAGCACAAGCACACACACATACACTCACACTGAGAAAGTGCATCACAGTGAGTCAAGAAGCGACGTCATTTTGAAAGTGGCAAGCTCAAACTTTGTCAAAGAGGTGTTGCACTGCATGGTACGGCGCCAAACATCAAAGGATTCAAAGGCGCGGGACAAACGGGCTTCGATGTTGTTGCCTCCAAACAAGTGCCAGCGGCAGGCTAACAGAACCTCTGCAGTGCAGTGAAGCTGTATGTTAGGGACATGCTGCTTGCAAGCCATTTGGCCACCGTCAAAAAATTCACATGTGAGTAGGAGCGGATGTGATGATTCTTGCTTGAAAAGTAGGCAGCATGACAAACTATGAAAAAATCCGCTCGAGTGGAAAATGCGCTCGATTTGTACCTTGCTAACAAAAGACGCTCGAGGACAGAAATGTGTACCAAATGCACCTCGACCAAATATATGTGTACCAAGGGGTGGTGCAGGTAGTCTCTATAAGCACCGTACCTGAGAAGGTACGACTGGATTTCTAGGGGAATAATTACCCACATCCGAAACTTCGTCCAATCCGCCGAGGCATGCAATCAGGGATGTAAAAGGGGGGTGGACCCCTTCCAACATGTGGCAACAACACCACCATGTGACCATGCATTATTCTTGAAACCGAGTTGATCCCGTGAACCTCTGAACCAAAAACGGCCTGATCGTTGGACTTGAATGCTTTCACTGAACCTTTTTTTTTGCAAAACAACATCGAAAACACATCTCGGTCTGTGCCCGCTATGGGCGATTTATAGCTACCCGAGACGTCAAACCCTGTCTCCTCCTTCACTCCCCACCTCCACTCCAACGATCCCGAACGGCCGCACGATCGACGGGTCGACGGGTCGATCCCCGGCGCCCGGAGGAAGTCGCGAGGGTCGTAGGGCAGCCTCGGTCGGTCCCGGTCCCTGTGACCACGCCGGACGTGCGTGGAGGTCTTCCGTCAGACGGGTGGAGTTTGGGATCGTGGAGGTGTGTGACCTCCCAAAAATCCGGACACCAGGTGGATGATGATGGTGTAGGGATCCAGTCGTACCTTCTCAGGTGTTTGGAGACACTGTTATGTAGGTTTCGAGGCTCCAAGTACCTTCTGAGAAGGTATGTGGATCCCTAGGGATGGTTACGTAGGTTGCAGGCTTTCTCCCCAAACCCCCAAAACCACTTGTGTTTTCGTCTCTGACCGACGGCTATCTACATGGCTAGACTGGTTGGCTTGCTTGGTTTTTCGACCCGGTGGATCTTATGAGTCCACGTGAAGAACCCCGGGTGACGATCACCCAAACACTCCATGCATGGAACTTCTGCATACCTACACTGCATACCTACATGGACCCCTGAAATCATGATATCCCCGAGTGGCCGATTCTCGGCCGCCGAAGAAGAAGGAAGTCCCATGTCGTGTCGTGCCAGAGGTTGAAGAACCCGATAGAGTTCGACTCTCCCAGCTCGGTGCCCCAGGTTACGGTCCTATAGTTCAGGTCACGACTTATATAACCTCTCTTGGTGTCTGGGTCCAACCCGACGTGGTTTTGTTTTTTTTTGTTCTTTTTACGTGGTCCGAATTGGGGCAGTCATTCGAACCAGAAGGTCGGATCCGCAGAACCCCCAGCCGGTTCGTTGCAAACCTGTTTCGGCTAGCAAACGTTTCGGCTAGCAAACGTGACGGAACTGGAGGGTTGATACAAACGTGATCCTTCAAAGGCCTGTGTTGCGAACCATCTGGGACCTCAAAAGGGTGCCTTTCGGCCGAATCAGAAGGTTAACATCGTACGCCTGGGGCGAGCTGTGTATTTTTCCTCAAAAACCTTGGGCGAGCTGTGCAGCGCCGGTACATTACTGCAACCCGCGCAAGTTGCACTTGTACAGATTCGATTTCAACAAGCCTTGCACAAACAAATGAACACAAAATACATACTTTGAGCACCATATTTGGGTGTTCACTGTGCTTACAACATTTCTCGAAAGAGCATTCCTTGAACTGCTTTCATGTCATCTTTCATGAACGCTGCGTGCGTGTTTCTCTCTCAGGGTCTCACCTTATATATATATATATATATATGAGATTTGTATGAGCGGGTCAATGTGGAAAAGGAGGCTTCCAAAGGTCCATTTTCAAAGTCCCTGTTAATCTTCCCGGGTGTACTCCATGTGTTCTAAGAGCCCAATTCTCTGCAAGCCTTTGAGTGCCTTGGAAATGATCTGCTTGTCTTGGAGCTGGAGTTTTGTCCAGCTAGGCTCCCAACCTTGATAAGGTGCCTTCAAATGTCCAAAGGGTTTTCAGCAAACTGTGAGGCGTTCTGACTGCGTCCTGATGGTCACAGTCTTGACCCTGTGGTCTTTGACATCTTTTTACTATTCTGCCTAAAACACAACAAAACTTGGCTGTTGGCTGTGGATCATTGAGAACATGCCACACAACAATAAAGAGAATCAAGCAGGAAGTAACTTTCGGTGGGGTGTCCCCAATCAGCCCAGAAAAGGCTCTGCAGGTAATCCACTGAACTCCAAACAAGGAAGATCCTCCCCACTGAGATCAGTGTGCATTCAAATAATTCAGGACACCTCCCAGGCGTTCCGACCGGAAGGTTAGACCAGTCTACCCAGCCAGCCAACGGCCAACGGGAGTTCTTTCAAACACCCAACCCTCCCCCCCGTAGCGGTCGCCGTAGCTCCGCGCCCCGAACCGACCTCGCCCGGTCGCTCCGCGGAACCGACCTCGCCCGGTCGCTCCGCGGCCGTTCGTCCCTCGAGTGGCTGGGAGGGCTCAAAGTCCACGTCGCGGTCCCACGGGTCCACGCCGGACGGCTGGCCTCGGTATCCGGCTCTCATGGAAGTGCGGTGGGGCCAGGGGGGTGGGGGGGGACAAATGTGTCATGTTCAGTGGCGAAAGAGAATGATTTATGGAGGTTGAGGGTGGTTGAAGAGTGAATTTACTTTGAGGCACCAAAATGTCGGATCGGAGAAGCACAGCTCGAGCGATCGTTTTTTCACCTTTGATCAGGTGGGTGAGGGGGCCTTATAAACTGGAAGTTTGGTGCTTGTCCTTTGCTTGGGGGTCGGAAAAGCAAACACTCCAAAGTTCTTCAACGAACATTTGGCCATCCATGTCCTTTGCTAAGGGCTTACATTTTATAAGGTCTTATATAAGGTCTTATATATTAGTAAGAAATTTACATTTAATACGTTTAATATGTCTATAGGACATATTAGACTCGGACTATATCTTGGGATTCTCTCCAAACCTGGCTTGAACACATGCTTTTCCTACCTCACAACGGACCGTCGACGGCCCGTCCTCCTTTCCATCCGAAAACCTGTCAAGGCCTCCCGACAAATCGGCACCGGAGCCGAAATGTCCTGGGGTGCCGCGGGAATCGGCAGGCGTGGGCAGCTCGGTCCGTGGCGCGGCGGGGGGAACCCGCGGCGTGGGAGCTCGGTGAAACACCCGAAAGCCTACACAGCGCGACCCTGGGACCCTCATGGAGGGCTCGGACCCATTCCTTCCAACTGATCAGGGGTCTGGGGTCGAAGCAATCCCAATTGGTTTGAGGGACCGGGAAAGGGCTGTGAACAGAGCGTTTGGGTACAGACCTTAAACCCTATAGCCTATAGACCTCAGTGAAGCGAGGCGTCTCAGTGGTTCGATGATGTTAGACGATGTCTGCAGGGATGATGTTGTCTCCAGGGCAGAAGGGGTTGGACGTGTTTTCTGTCCAATTCCCCTGAATCCTGCCACTCATGTTGTTGCTGTTGTTGTTTTGTTTTTGTAACCTGTCCACTCAAAAGCCAAAAGCTCTGGGCAACTTTTTCTGCCGGCTCTAGACCTGCAGGTTAGAAGATTTTTGGGAGAGGTCAATATGGTCAATTGTGGTAAGTGGCATTGGAAGGTATGATGAAAGGGAATACGAACAATGTACCTAAGCCATGTATAAATTAGCACATTTGCCGCATGAACAGCGCGGTCCTGACTAAGACTCCTAGCAAGGTTCATCGATATGTTTGGGCTTGAACTACCCGCGAACAAGATCGGAACCACCAAAGCACACCGCACAGCGCGGCGCGCACCATCCAAATTCCAGCGACAAACAACATGGTCACAGCAAACATGCCGGCGCGTGAAAAGGTTCACCCACAAAATGTCTGCTGGTTTCCCTCGCCATGTTTTGTCTTCACTCAGACTCGGCCCTGTCAAAACAAACAATTCAGCGGGTATAACTTCAGTAGACCGGGGTATGCTTAACACCTCCCCCGCGTTTGGAGCCACGACCCTTGGCATACCATCATCATGAAGGTATAACATGGGTGGTGAACTTGCCAACCACAGACCGTCGTGTTAGTCCGTGCCTTGGGCACGAAACTCAACCAATCCAGGATGGCCGCCATGCCCTGCGAGGATGGCGCGGGACGGGTTCGAAACGATGTCCGGTGAAGACCGGTGGACTGTGCTGAAGGCGGTACCGTAGGTGGACTCTAGCTCCACCTTTGCATCCCAGGTTAAGAAACCCGAACTGGTTTTGAAGATGCAAACTCTCACCAACACAAAGGATGGTTCCAAGCTTATGAGTTGCAGGATTTGCTTTCGGAGTTGGAAGCCAAGATCGTTCAGAGAGTTTTATGGCTGACATTTGCACTCGGTCTACTGGTCTCCTTAGGTTGATCAAGATCTGACTCTCAGGACGTCTTTGGATGGGTAGCTGGTGTGCGCAGCCAATGTTTATCTTACAGTAGATTTCTTGGTTGGCTGGAACCCTTCTTGTGGAGGAGTTTCTATGTTTACAGAGTTTGAGAAGAGAGCATGTGCATGCTCTCGCATGCGTGTCCTTTACCTGTTGACAAGCAATATGTTGAGGTGCTGATTCAATCTGTTGAAGCACGAGTATCATCAAACATGGTCTTATTGCTTTAAACTTAACCATATTTGACCTATAAACTGGGAATCAGCAAGGCAACAAGGCACCTAAAATCGTCTCCAAAAGAATATCAAAATAGGACGTATCAAGTCCGGACATGAAAGGGATCCCAAAGGGTTCCCCCTTCGTTCCAGAAGCATGAACGCACCTTGGTGAGTTCCCCAAAATTCAGAGGTAGTCGGTCCTATACCCCAGACATCAAGTTCAACCCCCTGCAAGGTGCAAAGCAAATTCACCGAATGATCAGGGGTCTCTCTGTTTCAATACACATCGACATCGCCTTGCCGGCTGTGGATGCTGTGGGATGCTGTAGAACTTCTCTTTCTTTGCGGCGGATGATTGACTTTTCACCCCCATCAGCACCACCGGCAAGAGCCACCGACACCACGCCCATGACCGCCCAGAATCTTAAGAAGGCTTCGCTCAGCCCCCTCCGTGTTGCTGCTGCTGCTGCCATTTCGCTGGAAATACAGTATGATTGTTCATGTTTCTTCAGTGTTGATATTTAAATTCATAAGCATACTTCAAGATGTTTTTCAGACGCTTCCTGCCTGCTTGAAAACCACTCGCTGAAGACCAATTCTTACACATCGGAGTTTGTTTAACAGAAATGACCACATAATTGGACAAATCAACACTTGACCGGTGTCTACACACCAGAGCTTTAATATCCTAGCCTTACATTACCTGGAAGGAGGCTTTTACAGAGGCAACCTTTCACCGTCCCACCACCTTCTTCGTCCTCTCGTGGGCCCGGCTTCCGAAGAGGCGGCCAACACCGACCCTTCCAATGAGCGAAGTCGTTACTGGACTGCAGCGAAAGGCCAGGTCTGCGCGAAAGTGACTACTTGGTGAATTGGCTGCGAACGCCAGGTCTGTCATTTGTGCAGATGCTCCTGGGAGCTGGCCAAAGAATTGAATCTGAGGATTGCTGAAAAAGGTTGCCTGATCTGACAAAGGTGAAGGCACGTCAAGGCATCCTGAATTGCCTCGTGGTGTCATGCACAATCTGTGGGTGCTGTTCGTTCTGCAGGGTCTTGGGGCGACCACGAGCACCTGCTGATTTCAAACCGGGTCGTGGCATGTGTCGAACCCACACCGACCACTTTCTCAGCAGAAGTGCCCACACCGAAGCCGTGTGGAGGATCCCACTTCACATGTCTTTTTCTCCCTCAGAGGCACAATGCCTTTTTCTATACAGCATGATCAACTAGCAACACTCATATCGCAGCAAGACAAAGATTAACATCACAAGAACATCCCACGAACAGGATCAACCCTGGACGCAAAAAGGCAAGAACTTGCTTGGTAATGGTAACATCCAAAATCAGAAAGTATAAGCTGCCATATGAATCTACCACAATCATAACTGATTCCCTAGAAACGCTTGGTAGCAGCTTAAATCAGAAAGTGAGCTGCGACGTGCACGTACTATAGTCAGATTACCTCCAGAGTTCTTTCACTAAAGCAGCTAACTTAACATAGCCAAACTCCAATTTAAAAACAACCCATTGCTATCACCAGTGCACCCACCCTGACGTCAAGCCCTTGAGCATTCAAGTCCAGATGACAACTCTTGTAAGACCTCGGCAAAGGAAAGGAACGAATCTAGATTTTAGCCAAACGAAGGTGGAAGGCAGCAGTGAATCCAAATGGCTGGAATCTGGAGTGAAGCCAATTTGAACTCCAGATTCCAGCCAATTTCCATGCACCAAGGCCAATTCCGCGCCTCTTGATCATCCCTCACCACCTGGGTCGCGGTGGCGAGTCGGCGACTTCGACTCGAACCATCGCGGCCCATGGGACCGAGCGAAGTCGGCGAAGCCCGTGGGGTGGCCTTCACGTCGACTCGACTGCATACGACTTGTAGCCACCGAAGCGGCTCGGGTGTGCTGGATCGATGACTGGCTGGACTCTCGTCGGTTTGCAGGCGCGACGAAGATCGTTCCCTCCGGTGGGCGCCTGTTCAAGCGTCCCGGGTTGGGAGTACGGGTTGGTCGACCTTTGTTGGTCGACCTTTCTCTACAGCACCAAAGCAGGCCCTGTAGAGAACTGAAGCCAAGGGCTAGGGCTCAAAAAGGGGTCGACTGGTCTGGGGATTCTTCTGGATGCTTCAATGACGCACACAATGCAAGGCTATACCAAATAGGAAGAATCATACAGCGCAAAACCATTTGGATTGGAATCGAACGATTCGGAGAGAGGGCTGCCACAACTTCGGCATCTTTCTCTGAATGAATTGGGCACTTTCACATCTCGCTATCCCTGAAAACAACTAACACACATTGAAACAACTTTGGCAGGTGCATACATGTAGCCTGCAAAAGGATGTCAATCACAACAAACCATCACTGTCATTCATTCACTAGTCATGCCAACATGCATTTCTATGGACTTTCACACTCCGGAGGACGTCACCATAAAAGGACCGAGCTCCCGGTTTCGCACCGTTCGTTCGACCCGAGGTCACCCGGCTTCACCCAACGGAGCTTCCTCTGGACTTCGAAGAACTGAGTCATGGGGTCTGTTGGCTGAAGTAGGGAGACCTCCCAGTGAACCACCCCCCTGAAAAAAGGAACATAGACCCTAAAGTGACCAGAACATGCCAAAACTAATCCCTTGGTTGGACAGCCCCAAACTCAACCATATGTTCATTGGTCGAGGGGTCCACTAAGAAAGGCATGCAAAGCCAAATTGCCGGGGGTGGATCCATAAGTGCCTCTAGATTCTACCCCTCTGCGGACTAAACCACTGGGTTGTCGAGGATCATGTTCTTCAGAGGGTCAATTGTCAGGGTCCATGTTAGTCCGCAAGGGGGTAGATTGCAATTCATGGTCAGAGTCACCCTCCTTGGCAGCACACCGTGTAATTCTCAGTGAGCGACCAGGACACCATACAGTTAGACCTGATACTGATCCCTCCAAAGCACCTGATACCTCCAAAAGTACCTGATACCTGCGAAGTACAGTGGAACATAGGACATGACCCCATAAAAATACTGTACCCACTATCCAAGGGACTTTGAAACTCCAGGTAGAGAGGTACCATGAGGTACCAAAGGGCAAAAAATATCACCTTGCACCACTAAAGTTCATCTGCTTCTCGAACGTAGACTCTTGATCAACGCCCCCAAGCCAGCCAGCCTTTTTGAGAGGATTTTGGAATGCATGGTCTGCACCAAAAAGTTCTTCAAGACTCAACATCCAATGGTCTCACCCTCTTACCGGTTCGAACGAACGGGCCGGTCCCCGCACCTGATGCGTGACGCCGTTGGGGACCATGATCTGAGGCCCTCCGAGCTGATCCTCGAGGCGACGGAGCGACCCCGCGGTGGAGGGTATAGCAAACCCGAGGAAAGAAGGGCAGGTGTCGAATCCATCGATCAAGGGTATTCTATCCAACCAAAACACAAACTGCAATGTATACTTGTATTGAGAATCATCGAAACGACTGTAAGTCCACTTCGGATGATCCTTTGTCCCACTGAAACGTTTTTTTTTTAAACGCAAGTTTCCCGATGTCAGATCCTTGTATTTTCGTCCGACCATTTCTTTTCATCGTCGACTGGACTCCCAGGACCTCGTCGCCCTAAGGGGAAAACACCGACCTCATGACTTGTCCGTGCGTCGACCACGGGGTGATGCGGGGTGATTGTCACCTCCGGGAGGGTCGTATGACGCGTCCCGTGGCGAAACAGGAGTGCCGAAAAAACCGTTTGCCAAATGGCCAGCAAAACACCGAAGCAGGAGTGAATTTACCATCTAAAGAACAAGTCATACACCATGTTTACAATTAGCACGGCAAAACACAGTAACAAACACACAACTTTGTCCCAAACAAAACAAACTGTCTGCTATGCATGCCTGTCATACCCTTGGTAGCTGCCACAACCCACCCGCGCCTGGGATTGGTAAACGTTCTTCCCCAAGAGTTTGTTCAATGCCGCGTAGCCCGTCAAGATCATGGGGCTGCTCACCTGTCTCACAACATGATACATGTTTACGCAAACAGGATGGGTTTGGCACAAGGATGGGGCAGGTAGCAGGAAAACATCCTTCCACAGGGTTTTTCCCGTATTCGCATGAAAAAAACATATTGACAGGTTGACCATTCCTGGTGTGCAACGGTATTATGGTAATACTAACAATTTGGCATATTTTTCTTGGTGCTATCTCCACATTAGTTGGTCCGCTGATAACAGACTCACTTTTGAGGGTGTCAAGGTCACCCATGTTGTACATTCATGAACCAACTTGTCAACACCTGGCGATTACGACCATCCCTGAGCAAAAAAAATACTATAATTAAGACCGTTTCAACCATGTTTCTTGCTGGGTTTTGATGCATGTTGGATTACGACGGCTTGTCAGTCCACTTACCAGGTGGCTGCCTTCAAGTCATCATCGAACGGGTCCTTCGCTTCGACCACGACAAACTCGCCGTGCAGTCGAAGCAAACACACTCTGACATTGGTTTGCTGTTAACTCAATTCCCACGTCGAGAAGGAAGGTGACGGAACGGGAAGGCGCATGAGTCAGCAAAACAGTATTGTTGAAAAAGTGTTTCACAAAAACGCTCAAGTGAAAGCGGCGATCAGCGGCTGCAGGACGCGGCAGGAAAGGGTTTAGGGAGATAGCATGCAGAAGCCACCATGAATCAAACCGATCGGATTGGACAGCTTTTGCAAAAGTTGGTCGCAGGTACACACCGAGACGTCTCTCAGTGCTTCCCATCTCGCTGCCTAGCTTTGTTAGACCAGGTTAGCAGCGAGATGCCTGGTCCCCCTGCGGTGGTATCAGAAACAAAAGCACAGGACCCTTTGGAACAGGGGTTGACACACACAGGTAGCCGAAATCGGCGCAGGTGGATGAAAGGACGGTGGCTGCTGTTTTTCTCAAAAATCGCCGGCGCGCAGTTTGATCATGCCCTTTTTGGACATACAGCCGGATAAGCTCTTCAGCCGCTGCCGCTGCGGTGTTGAGGTGATAGATTGAAGGTGAGGCGACTGTACACACTTGAAACTCAAAAGTCGGCTGCCTATCGAAAAGAAACTTGCACTGGAGTGACATGCTGAATGCTCAGTACGTTGCAAGTACAGTCATCGTATTAGCCCGGCGGCTCAAAAGGCCGTACATTCAAGGTGGAAGAAAGCAGTTGAGAGAATCCAAGGTTGGTGAAAACGGTCAAGGCAGTTACACGAGTTCCGGCATGAAAGCGGCGCCTCCTTGCGGAGGATCACACCCAGCACCCAAGTGGGACGGCTGAGCGGTTCACACTCGGGGGCGGGTCTGGTCTGACCTCGAGGCATTCGCAATGAAGAATGCGACGACTCCCATACCCTCTTCACCCACTATCTCCAAGATGTTCCTGTAAAGGACATTGTCCTCCACCTCCTCGCGTGTAGGGAGGGTCTGCCTCACCGTCTTTATCTCGATGGGGTGAGCCGGGAGCGTCCACGCCACGCGCGGGTATCACGAAGGCAGCTTCTGAGGAGGGCATGTCAAATTCGGTTTTGGCAGTGTTGGCCTCTGCTTCTTCACGGCCCACGGGGCGAACGAAGTGCTCCCTTTATGGGAAGCCTTCAAGTCGAAGGAAGTGAGCAACTTCATGATGGCTCGGCCTGCAGGGTTGTCCTTATGTACTACACCAATTTTCAGGTTAGTGGTGATGGCCAGCCAGGCAAGGAGAAAGGTGAGGGAACGCGTTTTGCCAGCGCCAAAGACTGCCACCGCAATGGTCGACCGGCCTGTGCGCAGTGCCATGGTCCATCCTATTGCAACTGCAAGAATATGCCCATTATCAAGTCGAGCAGCTGTGCAGAGATCCGTGACAAGGTCCGCGCACTTGTATTGTTTGAACAATCTGTTGACAGGTCTGCGGTGGCGAGCATCTGCGCGACTCAGCTGCA